CTGTGCCACTGGGGGGCTTGTCAAAGAATATAAATATTTTACTTTGGAAAGGGCTGTTACATAACTTTCCCAAAAGCATTCAGTTTTTCAAGGGCATCATATTAAATAACAAATGCCAAACAATGTCAAAATGTAGTTCTGATACATGCCATTCCATCTCGAATTTATGTCAGCTTCAGTTGTCACATGAGATAATTATTTGCATTTTCAGCCGTGGTCAACTCCACTATTCGTTGGTAAAAGATTAGCCCAAGAGTTGGCAGTGGGTGGTGATGACTAACTGCCTTCCCTCTAGTCTTTCACTGCTAAAATAGAGACTGCTAGCCCAGCTAGCTCTCGTGTAGCTTTGCGCGAAATACAAAACAAGCAATCTATTCGCCAACATAATGAAGAAACAGGGTACCAACTCAACATAGTTAATTTCATTATCCTCCTCAACACTGACCTAGAATTATTGATTAAAGAAACCATCATATCAAATAGCATTCTCTAACCCTAAACAACACGCAGTCTTCATTTAAATTGCAAATTTTTAGCATGTATAATGATATTGTTATTATTTTTAATTTTTCGATATTTTCTTATTCAAACTTTTCTTACTCCATTTCAATGAGTTTGTTTTTAATTTAATTATTGTTAAATGTAACTTTATAATTTTAATGATGTAGAAATCCGTAACATTTACCTTTGTCCCTTTTTAAATAAATAAACAATTTTGTTTGTCAGAAGTTTCGTAATCTATTTTTATTACCAAACTTCGTTTTTCACTCGGACACATTGATTGCTAATATCCTGATACAACGATATGGAAATAATATGTCAACAGGTATACCATGCCTGTGAAAAATGGGACTTTAAAATTAACACAATGTAATCCTTTATATATTTATCATTATAAACAAATCGGTGTTATATTAGTCATGTTTACTTCTTCACCTTGTAAGAACAACGTTATCTTTTAATAATTATTGAGACGAAAACCTCTGTTTGGTGTAAATTATGTGAAAATTTGATATTGTTTCACTGATGATGAATAAGAAATTATATTCTTGAGAATTGTGTTCCAATGGAGGAAACTTGTTTCACTATAATATAAAGACTTGAGCAGTGTAGATTGGATTTTCGTGAAAAATCAACCAAGTTATGAAA